GATAATAAGTACCGGAGGCCAGGGCGGCGCCGACGGTGGTGAAGACGAAGAGGAAGGTGAGGAAGAGTTCGCCAGCGGTGGAGCGGAGGAAGTAGAGGTCTATGTCGCTGAGCTTTTGGGCTAGTTTGGTGAGCATGGTTTGGGGATTTTGTGAGATTGGGGAGAGGAGGGGGAGGAATTTTATGAAGTGAAGTTTGAGTGGGGGTTATTTTCATAAAATTATTTAATTAAGATAAGTATAACATTTGGCATTTAATTCTTATCTTTTGGGATGTCTAAAACGTGAAATTTTATATTTTAAACTTATTTTTTATCATTGGGCACAAATCTCGATGTATGTTTTGAACTATAAATATTTCAGATTTAAATTCTAGGACCCTGATTTCAATAAATTTATAGTTAAACAAACTGTCTCGACAAGAGGAACGCGATTATATTAAAATTGGTTTAATTCAAGTCAAAATAGGTCGAGATCAAGTCATTAAAGTATATTAGGAAGCTTTGGTTCGCCAATTGATAGTCAAATGAACTTCAAATTTGCATGCTTATAACCAAATAAAGTGTCTCAACTTATAGTCAAATTCCAAGGTGCAATCACAAAGTCCATGATGCTAACCTCTACTTAGTTTCCCAATGATACACCATCATACTAGTGAAGAAACTTCCTTAACACCACTTGAAGATCATGTACGAAGAATGGAGAAGCCTTAAAATGAGATCCTCCAATTTTATGTGATGCTCGACAACTGACAATTGTGCATTCCAAAGGGGCAACTAAAATCAATAGACCAGAGGCATGCAATTGGCACTACTAGCTCTACACATCCACCTCCCATTTTCCTGCATTTCTAAGGAAAGGCTACAAAGGATTTGCTTTAAGAAAAAGATTTTAGATAAGTATTGTTTGCTTATCAGTGTTGTATGAACTTTTTGTTATATATGAAATTTGTGTTTTGTTATTTCTTTCTCATGAAGTCTGAGTAGTTCCCTCTATCATTCTCCCTACTATGAGATATGGTAAAATGAAGAGATAAAATGAATGTGCCAATATAAAGTTGTAAAATAAATTGTTGTGATTTTTTAACTCCGAACTTAATTTGCGTTTCGATCTAGCCAATTGAACTATTAAAATGTGTTGTGAAACATATGATCCTGGAAATGAAGTATGAGTTCTACAATAGAGTAAGGATCACATTTGATTCCATGAAGGAGAACATTGTTTATGGAATTTACTGCAAATAAATAAGGAAATATGCTTTATTGGGTGTAGAATTGGAGAACCTTTAGGGTGGTAGACTAAAATCTTCAATTCAGTCTTAGTGTTTAAAAACTAAAGCGAGAGCTAGCCTTCAGGTGAAGGAAAGTGGGAGTTCTGGAGTGGGAGCCGGTATCCTCCTAGCTTAGCCACAGATTTAGGGACCAAACATTGAGATTAGCTAATGATTTTCTATGCACTGTATTAGGGTAGAGAATTAAAATTGCTCATATTTGCCACAATATTTGGGGAGAGGAGGGGGAGGAATTTTATGAAGTGAAGTTTGAGTGGGGGTTATTTTCATAAAATTATTTAATTAAGATAAGTATAACATTTGGCATTTAATTCTTATCTCTTGGGATGTCTAAAACGTGAAATTTTATATTTTAAACTTATTTTTTTATCATTGGGCACAAATCTCGATGTATGTTTTGAACTATAAATATTTCAGATTCAAATTCTAGGACCCTGATTTCAATAAATTTATAGTCAAACAAACTGTCTCGACAAGAGGAACGCGATTATATTAAAATTGGTTTAATTCAAGTCAAAATAGGTCGAGATCAAGTCATTAAAGTATATTAGGAAGCTTTGGTTCGCCAATTGATGGTCAAATGAACTTCAAATTTGCATGCTTATAACCAAATAAAGTGTCTCAACTTATAGTCAAATTCCAAGGTGCAATCACAAAGTCCATGATGCTAACGTCTACTTAGTTTCCCATTAATACACCATCATACTAGTGAAGAAACTTCCTTAACACCACTTGAAAATCATGTACGAAGAATGGAGAAGTCTTAAAATGAGATCCTCCAACTTTATGTGATGCTCGACAACTGACACTTGTGCATTCCAAAGGGGCAACTAAAATCAATAGAACAGATGCCTGCAATTGGCACAAATAGCTCTACACATCCACCTCCCATTGTCAAGCCTAGCAATAAGCCTCTAACATCTATAGAAAATGTAGTTCAACCTCATGTAATTTGTAATGAATTACGATGCCTTGTACATGAAAATTTCCTTTGAGGGATAAAAGCCTTTTCTCGACTTAGCATGGTTCTTAGGAGCCTTTACCATTAGCTGAGACTATCCTTCAACACCCTATTCCAACAAGATTTAAGCTTCTAAGCTTGATTCTTATGATAAGATGTCTGACCTGTATGAACACATTGATCACTTCAGAATAATCATGCATATATGAAGAGCCTCTAATGCACAACTTAATTAAGTTTTTCTTGAGACTTTTAAAGGCTAAGTAAGCACTTGGTTTTATTCACTCTCAGGGGAAGGATCCATACCTTATTTGAGCTCACTAAAGTGTTTATGGAGCAATACATCATGAATCAAAGAACTCTCACAACTCGTCTCACCTTTCTGGGATTCTTCAAAATGAGGGAGAGTTATCAAAGGATTATTTTTTGAGATTTTTTTATTGAAGCTCATCAAATCTCAAGAGTAGATCCAAAACTACTGAGAGGTGTTTTCTTGAGTGATGTTACATCCTTGTCCTTTCTACTCATCTTTGAAATGGGAGATATTTTTTTTCATATGCTAACCTCATTCATCGTGTTGAGGCACAAATTACAGTTGATAAAGCTTTTAGTACACATAAAAAGCAATTTGAGTTGCAATTGGATAAACATAAGAAGAACATGTCAAATATTCAAGCATCCTAGTGAAAGAAGTAAGAGTCTCGATAAATCACGGTATGTCGCCTCGACCACATAAATGAATCTCAGCAAGAGAAAGCGTATACATTGCTTAACACATCAGATGCCCATATCCTGATAATGATTCAAAATAAGAAAAATCTTAAGTGGCGACATATGTTGAGGCCAAATACCAGGAATCAAAATTAGTATTATCACTTCCATCAAATTCATGACCATATATTGAAGCATACTTTCATCACAAAGTGCAGATGGAAATGTTAATCCAACAAAGATATTTAGGCCAATACATTCAAATCAAGACCCTCACACTAATAATGCCCCTAATGGGGGTAACAAGCCCAAAAGCAACAGTGCGAGAATCATGTTAGTAAAATTATAATGATCATGACAGGAACATTGGTAGTCTAGAAATTTATTTTTACCGCCTATGAAGAGCTTACGATGTAGAAATTTCAAGTCAACTGATACACCAAAAATATATTCATTTTTAGACCCATATTTTATATTTATTTTTATGATATTGCACTTTAATATATGTATTTTTATGTTTTGTTGTAGGTTGTTGATTTTTGGACTTGAAGCAAAAAGGAAGTAAAAGGGATGAAATTTACAGTCAAAATAACATTTTTGAAGAAATGCTCAGTGCCGACAACGCCCAAAGCAGCGCCAACGACGCAGACTAACAGACAGATGGTGAATTTTACTCAGTGCCAATGACGCCGTTGGACAGAGAGCAGCGAATTAAATTGCGGAACACTGGCGTCGACAACTCCAATGTCGGTTTAGCCGATGTTTCTAGAAGATTTGATGAATTTGGACTCTTTTTTGAATTTGGACGCTTTTTGAAGAGTTTTTGGAGGCACATATTGGAGAACCGACTCTATGCTTTATTTGGGGCCAAAATTGATCATAAAAGTGACTCTTTCTGACATCTCATCGTCCCAATTCAACCTTCTACACATCACACATTTTTCAATTTTTCATTCCACAACAATTTAGAGTCCATTGTTCTTATAATTTAGAGTTTTGTGGTGAAATTAAGTGTGAATTCTTCTCTAAGGGTGTTGGAGAGAGAAAAAAGTGAGAGATTTCTTCTTATTACATTTCATAGAAGAGGCTACACGGGATTTGCTTTGAGAAAGAGTTTCAGATAAGTGTTGTTTGTTTATTAGTATTGTATGAATTTTCTTTTATATATGAAATTCGTGTTTGGTTGTATCTTTCTCATGAAGTCTGAGTAGTTTACTTTATCTTTCTCCATACTCTGAGATATGGTAAAATGAAAAGATAATATGGATGTGTCAATATTAAATATAAAATAAATTGTGATGATTTTTCAACTCCGAACTTAATTTACTTTTTGATCTGGTCAATTGAATTGTTAAAATGTGTTGTGAAACATATGATCCGGAAAATGGAGTATGAGTTCTACAACAGAGCGGGGATTACATTTGATTCTACGAAGGAGAATTTTGTTCATGGAGTGAAGTGCAAATAAATAGGGAAATATATTTTGTTGGGTGTAGAATTGGAGAACCTTTAGCGTGACAGACTAAAATCTCTAATTTGATCTTAGTGTTTAAAAACAAAAGCGAGAGTTAGCCTTCAGGTGAAGGGAAGCGGGAGCT